CAAATCATCTGCACCTCCAGTCCTTTGCTCTTTTTATTGGTCCACATAGCTCCACATGACATCTGAATTTACTATATAACAGTGCCTTTTATGCAAGTTACATGTCATTTCTTTGACTATTTCTTTGTTTGGCTGCCAGTCATCTGGTAGCAACGGCCAGGTTAAGCCAAGAGCCGCAATCTGCAGACAACCCCCCGGTGTTGAGGCAGGTCTGGGGTTCAGATGAGAATTAAAGTCAGGGTCAGGCCTGTGACCCCAGCACCTAGGGTCGGGCACAACAACAGGCAAGAAAGACCACGGTGACAAGGCAGGACTGAGTTTGAGCTGCAAAGTCAGGCCTGTTGGTCAGGGTAAAGGTTTGGATCAGCTTGACCTGGACTGAGGACAATGGCCGAGAGTGTCCCCTTACCATGTTCTCCTGAGTGAAGGTGGAGGGGAATCCTTGCTGTTAAGATGAGGTCCCCTACAGCTGGGTGCCTGCACCCATTCTCTGAGCTGGCCCTGAGCCAGGACGGGCTAATGTGCTTGGGGCCCTGACACCAAGAAATGCTGAAAATAGTAATAACTAACAGACTTTGACTGCAATACCTTTTGAAATGCAAAGCAGGCCCTTCAGACATCAACCTTTCCAGTATTTCATAATCCCTGGAAATGTAAGGGAGTTTCACATCTTCATGTTCATGTAATTGAAACCTACAGAGTGTGACAAAACATTTTTTGGTAACATTTTTAAAGCTACAACAAAAGACATTTAAATGTCCCTGGAAATCACAGCTAAAGCTTGGGAGAGGTGGGAGTATCTATCATCTCACTAGTCTTATCTTTCATTCTCCAGTTCCTGGAAGTGGGAGAAAAACACCTATGTTCACAACATGTAGAGTTTTACCATATTTTTATATGAAGCTTTAATTATACAAATTAAGGTAGTGACACTTTAAAGCCAATTTTTATATTACATGATCTCTTCCTAAATTGAGGGGAATACTTTGGTAATATCTCTTAGTCTTCAAGAGAATAAATGGTGAGCTGCTGCTTGCCAGGTTTCATGAATCTGTGGACAGAATAATGTGTTACACAAATATTTTTGAATTATTTTTTTGTCCCTAGATGAAGAAAAAAATATCAGATATCAGACCTAAAACTACAGCCAGACAAGCTAAAAGGGTCTGGCAGTTTAAAGCGAAACTGGGATTAGGGCTATTTAAAATAACTGGGCAGGTTGGGCAGGGCAAAGTTTGACAAAGTTATTTTCTTAGCTTGATTTCCAGGACCAACTTTGAAAGAAAGCAACATGAGTATGTAGTTCTACCCTGGGCTTGCTCTGCGTCCTTTTTAGGCACATTCAGCATTGCGAGGAATGCATGGACTCTGGGCTTGAGCAGTGTTTGCTGTTCCCAGGGGGCTGGAGCTTTAGCCCTGCAACTTGAGTTTTGAGCAAGCTAAAGACTGGCTGACAGTGCAGTGCATGCAAAGGCATTTTATTTCATTTCCTCCTCCACAGAGGTCAAGAGCCATGTCTAAGGCTAGAAGGAGTCATTATATAGATGAGGATGATCCTTGTGTGAGTCAGAACATGGAGCTTCACCTGGAGGGTTAGCAATTTAAGTGATCTTTCAAAAACATCACTGGTGGTTCTTCTCTGAAGGTTTTAAGAGGAGTAGTAAACTAAGTGTAATAGGACCGCTGATCGGAAGAACTGTTTTGGTAGAAATTATCTGTCTGTTCTTGATGTCTGTAATGAGACTTCAGGAAAAGATGTGTAAAGAATCTATCTGTCAGGGTATATTTGCCTGCTGCAAGCAGGTTTTGATACTTCTTGAAGAGAGAAGGAAGTGTCAAGCCCTCTAGTGCCCTGGTGAATTCCTTCCTTACAGCATTAATAAAGACAACAAGCCACTCAAATACATCAGTTTGGGGAATTTTGGAAGTATTCTCTGATGTTCAACTAAAACCCACTTAGATGCTGGGTGGGTACTCTGCCTTCTTCAAGACTGAGACCAAAATTCCCATCCTAGAAGAGCTTCATTTTGGAGCATAATCCACCACTTTGACAGTGTTTCCTTTCCACCTGGAATGAACCTGTACCCAGGAGCAGCTCTGGTCTTAACTCAGGGCATGACCTTACAACATAAAAGCTTTTACTTGTCAATATTTAATTCAACATTTACTAAATGGCAGGTGGATGCTAGGCTGACTTCACTGGAATTAATTTGGCAATGTTTTAACTAGCTTTAATCTACATGGAAGGTAATTTTGGAAATAACCCTAACATAATGATAACATTAAACTCATAGCTCATAGGATTTTTCCTAAATGATGACATACCAGACTTGCATGTGTAAATGAGAGAAAACAGTTAAAACAACACTAAAACACCACTAATGGCCAACACAGCAAAGGGTAATTATTAACCACTTTTTCTTGTGGAGAACTGGGAAATACTCTGCTGTAGCTGATCCAAGGCACTGTTATGTAATAATCAGTAAAAACTATTTTAAAATAGTCAATATCCTTGTTCTGTTCCACTCCCCCCCCATACCCCACCCCCGATCTGTTAGATCTGCTTGTACTGACACCTACATATTGGAAACTCTGAGATTTTTAAGCTGAAAAGACTACTAAATAAAAATGGTCAGTGTCCTAGCTTTTCTCTCAAAGCTATGATTTTAGCAGTACAGGAACACAATACGTTTCCACTGAGGACATGAAGCCATGAAAGACACCAAATTCCAGTTTTGGGGGTTTGAGTGAGAAGATAGATGTTCTCACTTTCACTGGGAAGCATGTGCATAAATACTTTAATTTTCCTATGGAATTAGGTATAAAACTAAACTATACACTACTGCTTTGCCAGATCAGGGCATTTTTATAGAACTAAAATCTAAGTATCAGTTTTGCTTACCAATTTGAGACTGCATTTCCAAAGGGGCCTATCTTTACATGTGTAGTTATAAACACTGTATACTCTCTGGTTATCACTCTTATTCCAACATTTCTGTTTCCAACTTTCTAACGATGAAAAAAAAAATCATTTTGAACCTGAAATTAAAATTTCACAGACTTCTGTCTGAATATTCAGTTGGTAAGCTTTTAACTGAGGCTTGCTTGTAAAGATTCTCTCTACTCTTTCTTTTCTGTTTATCATTTCCATGAAAAAAAAGAATCACTTCTTTCTAGTGTGGTATCTAACAAAGCAATTCTTGGTTTGTTTGTCCTATTTCTTGGTCATGACTGCTCAAGTTGCCCTTGAGATGGTTTATTTGTAATCTTGCTCAGGTTGATACAGGCCAAATTTATAAACTTGAATCAAAAACTTGGATCAGAGATGTAGCTTTGTTTAGTCTGAAAGGATTAGTTCTAGCACAGAGTGGGCTGCTCTTCAACAATCATTGAATTCAAGCTTTTTGAATAGGCATGTCTTCCTGAAGCTTATATAACCACACATAACTTGGTTTATAATGTAGCAGTGCCAGCTTTGTAGTCTTGTCTTGCTTATTTTCCTGTCCTTGTGCTAATCATGGGACATGATGAGCAAAAAGTCCTTTCCACAAATGATGGATGCTACTAAGTAGTGCATCTTGGGTTTAGATATCACAACCTAATGATTTTGGATTAATCTAAAACTTGTGAACTTTTCAGTTAAAATGTAGAAATAAATTAAATTTATATAGGTCTGGAATCTGTCACTTGTATCTGAGATACAAGATTTGTTTGAAACTCGCCTGTCTGCTCTCTCACTCTAGTGAATGAGGAGAGAATCTCTTATTTCCTTATAACCACCATGTTACACAGAGCTAAAGTACAAGACTTTATTTTTTACCTGTTAATTATAAGATATTGGATGCCATGTCTAAAGACATTTTTAGATAAAATATGCTAGGGGACCTTACAGAGAACTTCATTCCTGTCCCTCAAAAGCAGTGTTTTCATTGATTGGCATCTTGTAACTGGACAAGAATGCCTATTTCGCTGAAGTAAATTTGATGGTAATATCTTTTGAGAACTTCATTGAGATTTATGTAACAGGATCAAAAGTGATCCGTACAGCTGCCACAACAATCATAACCTGAAATACAAACCAAGCACCACATGTTCAGTAATGCCACCTTCCCTAAAAGAACAAGGTTACTTCAAATCCCAGCCAGAATTTACAGGTTCAGCCAACTCACATCTGTACAGCTGCCTCTCTACCTAATGTATCTTGGGTAGTTTAGTATCTGCAAGTTTACAGATAATCCAGCTAAATTAGCTATCAAGGTCCTTGAGGAAACGCTGACAAGCCTAATTCAACATACATTGGATTTTCAAAGAAAGCAATACACATACCATCAGGGAAAATCCAAAACAGAGACCATCTTTCCACACTCAAGAGTATTCTTATCTGTGCTTAGCTTTGGGACATAAGGAACTGATAGCAAAAGCAATACAAAACTGTTTTGGCTTAGTATTTAAACTGTTATGGAGTTCCTGTCCATGGCACAAAGCCAGAAGAGAAGACCAGGTAAATATTTTTATGAACTACTGTGGTTTTTGTTACTGTACAGTACGTCTTGTCGCAGCCTTTCAAAATCTTGCAAAGGGGTGACTCCTGACACCACACACTGTCTCACACACAGAGTACTGGCCCAACACATCACTGTTAAAGGCCATTTACAGCACATGGAATGCTGTGGGTGTTCCTCCACCTGGTCACTTGTAATCGAGTAAGAGTATATGAATGAGTCCTAGCCTTAGGCACTTGCATTTCAAATGTCTTTTGGTCCCAATGTGGGAAGCAAAGCTTTTGTTTTTGTGGCAACTGAAACAAAGAGCTCTTGTATGGTACTGCAGCTATACAAGGCACATTGTTTTCTATTGGGTAGAAAAGATTTATTGCATGAATTCCAGCTGAAGCATCATACTATGTTTTTACTGTTAATTATTTATTACTTCTGGACAGGTATAAAAGAGTTGAAGCTGGCTTTGAATTTCATTCAATGATTTAACTGTCCCTATTTCAGAGGAGAGGTCTGCTATAGCAATCCTGAAGAGAGCTGCTTCTGAACTGCACTGAACTTCAGAAATCACTGGAAGTGAAGAATACTTCGGATAAGCAGTGAGTAGAGTCTAGAAGTTGGACTTGATACTTTGGAGCAACTTCTCAACTTTAGCAATGTTCTCAAGGGTTTGACTTGGGGAGGGAGGAATAAATTTCCATTGGTAAAAACCAATTTGTGAAATTCATAAACAAATTATTTCCTCTGCTAGTCAAGTACTCAGCTTTTATATAAGCAGTCATTAACTCTGAAATCTGTCTTCCTCTCCTGGTTAACAGATTTCAATAGAAAATAGCTTGGGTTTTCCCCCCAATTTATATTAAAAAACAAAACAAAACAAAACAAAACAAAACAAACCCAAACTGACCAAACTGAAATATTTAATTTTGAAATAGAAATTCAATCCTTCCCCTTCTCAGTATAAGAGATCAGACTGTGACTTGTATGAAGTACTGAAATCCAGATATAATAATCCATTATCTTTTAAACACACTTTAGGACTGACTCTACAGATATAGGAAAAAAGAGACATACGCATTTTTCAACACTATGTAAACTGATTACTTGAGACAACAGGTATTTCTGGAAGCTGGGGTGTCTACAGTATTTGAGACTAACTCTTGCTAAATGGTTCAGCAGCATAGGAATGCTCTGTGCTAAATTGAAGTCATGCCACACCTGATTCCAGCAATGGTATTTTAATATGGGGACTGTTTGACATTTTCCATAAACAGTATAAGAAGTATTGACTTGTACAGTCTCGCTTGCACCAGACTAGACCTAGCTTAATAAAACTACTTAAGGAGAAAATAATCCCTTCAGTTCTTAATGGCATTCCAGAACATCTATTTTAACAGATAGTTATGTCGCTTATCAGGATCTAATATATAAATTGTTCCTGATTTGGGGGATACAGAAACCTGAAATGTGTTCTTCACATTGGGTGCTCTAATTACTCAATCTTTTGATTGATCAATGGTGGATTTCTTTTGTGTGAGTGTGTATGTATGATTTAAAGTACCAGGAAGAGGAGCACATTCATTGAAGTACATGCCATAGACTACTGACAGAGCATCTAGCTTGAAGCACAGGGAAGTCCTCAGCTTAAGTCTGTTTAACTGTAAGTACAGCCCCTTTTTTGAAAGGCACAAGTACTCAGCCATAGTGAATTTTGGCTGTAGCTGAGTTGAAAAAAGGTAACAGTGCACAAGCTACAGGATAGGAGTGAGATTCAAACCTTTTCTCCTCTGTTGTCTTTTACTACGGTTTTAGTGTTAAATCAAAAAAAAAAAAAAAAATCCTCTGAAGCATCTACCTATTTCCAATACCTACATGCACAGCAAACCAAAGTATTTAAGTTGGATGATTTTGTCTTCCCAAAAGCCCATCGGGACTTACCAAGTCTGTCTGGGTTATTTTTACACCAATGTGTTTTCCAAAGCTTTGTGGTTCTCACCCTACTGCAGTGTTGTCTCACTGCTTCTTTTTCCCCATTTTTAAAAGAAGCCAAACTATTCTGTGCTACGCCTGAAGGGGTTTACTCTAAGGAGTGCAAAGCAGTCCCTTTCTGTCCCTGGGAGTCTGTGCTGGTTTACAATTACAAGTGAATTTAGTCAGCTGGAGGCTGCTCTTCCTACTTCCACATTTTCCCTGCCCATAGTAGTGCAATGTTGACACAGACATAACCTTTCTATAGAGGTAATACATTTTGCACATGAGAGACAGACATGGAAGGTGTATGTGCCCACCATGAGAAATTTATGTCAGCAGAACCTTTTATGTCACCAATAAACTGTCTGAAGCTTGCTTGTGTTGTGCCTTGGGTGGAGTGACTGGTTGCTTGGTGTAATTCTGAACAAGATAGCAAATGGGCCCTGACCGGCTGCTAGCCCAAACAGTCTGGACAACAATAATTGATCTATTCTAGGTCTTATGGTCATCTCAGTTTGAATTTTTTTCTTCATAACTGTGGCTTTTAGTCAGCTTTTCTGAGGTGGTCAACGCCTTAGTGATTTTGTCATCTAACATACCAATATGACTATTTAAAATCCGAGTTCATCTGAAACAGCTCCCTTTGCATACTTGCTTTTTGTGAACGCGACAGCTTTCCAACAGTTTTTGGTTTTGTTACTTGCAGTCAGTTAATGAATGCTGAATGATCAACAGAAGTTCAGAACACAACTTAGATTACAGTAGATTTATTCATACCTCTCTCACGTCAGTTTGCTGTGCCAGTCATGATGGTCCTACTCTGTGAACTGCCAAGCCATCCTTGCCAAGGCTAACAATTTGTAGGGGTCAGTTGCACTGCATGTCCTACTAATGAGCTCAACCTATACATTGCTAAATAAACTGCTGGATGAGTAGGTAAGCAAACTGTAGCTCTGATTGTAATGCTGGAGGTACCTCCCTGGCCTGACGTAAATGAAGATTTCCTGATTTGTGGGTCACCTACTGAGTAATTGTATATGCTAGGGAGCAGACAGATCTCATCTTCCAGGATAAAGAATGAATAATGAATGAATATTTCTGGATCCACAACTTAAGCAACTTACCTGACCCTAGCAATATGAACATCAGAGAGAATAAATTTTTCTGCCCTATTAAATTTTTTCAGTGAATGGCCACCACCAGCAGCAGTGCAAATCTCAGACTTTCATTCCCCTAACTGGAATGTCACTTCTTCAGATTTTGTCAGACACTGCAATCTGAAGATCAGATTTCTGATTGCTGTAATCATGTGTCTCTTCTCTGTACAAACGTCAGTAAGACTGCAAAAATAACACTGACAAATCTGTGCAGGATTTCAGTGATTTCTACTCCCTTCCCAGTCCAGATTCCTTATTTTTTGCATCACGTTGGATGTCTGTCCTGGATATGGTATCATTCCTTTTTCTACAGTCAGTGGATATGTTCAAAAGGTGTGAAACTAGGGTTACTCAAAATATAGGAGGAACAGTTCAGTCTGAAGACTTCTGCAGGTTGTTCCCTGATAGCAATTAAACTTTCCAGACAGAAGCATTTTAAAGCCTAAAAGCATTTTAAAGACTGCTCAAAGAACAAGAGGAAAATTCAGCCATATAAAAAACTTATTCTTACTAGTGGCTTAGCTGTGAGGTTGAGTTATGACTCTTTAGATGCTTTGCAGACTGTTTCTGACTGAACCTGTGCTGTTTCTGTTTCACTGCTACGCCCCATATACTCTTTGTCTTGTAAGCTCTTAAATTCCAGTTTGATGATGCTTTATTAATACTGTCAGCACCTTCATTAATTTAATTATCTACATTATCTGTATATGAAATACTGTATAGCACATGGGTGCTGCAGTGAGCAAGTCCGACATTATTTTTGTTATGCTTGTTAAATGTGGCATGGGACAGGTGAACTGCTGTTGATGAGACTAAGCATCTCTCCCATAAACTGAAATACATTTGCCTTGAAAGCTCTTTCTGAAGAGTAATTTCACAGGAATTGACTAAAGCCCTTTGCAGCAGAGGGAAAGGAGTTTGCAGGTTTTTAGTATTGACTGCACTGGGAGGTAGACAGGGAAGAAGGTATTTTTTTTGGCTTTGGCACTTCTAGGATGCTGCCACATCTCTAGCTTCTCTTACTCAAAACCTCAGCCTGATTTCTTGGAACTAGCTGAGCCAACAGCCCCAGTACTGCCAATGGCAGTATCAGACAGGGTTTCTTCTTAAAAAACCTCTTGCATGTGTAATGGCCTCAACACAATTTCCAGTCCAATGTGCTGTTTCACTAAACTGTTATCTTCCCATGTATCATAGCTCACTATCTTGTAGACTCTTGTCTACAAGACAGCTTGCATTCAAGACTGGATCTATGGTTACCATAATGACTAAGTAAGCAAAGATCTTGAAATGTCATCTCAAGTTGCTGAGATAGAATAACCCAGTAATCCATATTCCAAATGAATTGAACAGACTGACAGACCACCCAAGATCATACAATGAAGCACAGTGTAAATAATGGATAATCCATCCTCTCTGAAACCCCAGAAATGAGTCTAGTTTTTTAATAGATTATGATTAAATTGTCCTTTAACATTATTAAAGCACATACGTCAAGAAATTTCTTGATAGAGCAGTAAATAAATGGACTACTCCTTTGTAAATGCGTTCAGGTAATGCCTCAGCATTATAAGGTTTATAAGGTCTAATAATCATTATAAGGATTATAAGGTCTAATAATCATTAAAATCACACCATCAATTAATCCAAATGTCCTGGCTGCAACCCAGCCATAGTAATGGAGTTTCACCTGACTATAAACTCCTTTTGTAGTTGCAGTGGGTCTGATGATCTTACTCTAATAGAGACAGTGCATCCACTAAAGGGCCTGATGTTGTTTATCATAGCTTTTTCCTCTTCACGCTTTACTTGTGCGAGGAACTACTATGCCTCCAAAGAGCATGCTGCCCTCTGAGCAGACTACTTAAATGCAGTTAGCATGTATGTTTCAGTTCCTTTTAACTGTGTTCGGTTTAGTGCTGCTACACCTTTCTGAATGAGGATCTGACTTTTGAAGGGTGTAGTTAGACTTCTTATAGGCTTTTTCAAGTCCTTCCCGGGTCAGATTTCTAATTTTTTTTTTTTTTTTTTTTTTTTAAAAAAAAAAAAAAAGCAGCCTCAGCTGAACAGTACCACAAGCTTCCCTATTTTCTTCCCACAGCTACTAACAAGGTAAAACAGAATGGAGAACAAACAGCAAAGCAACAGTGAGATGAAAGAAAATAAGGCAGTGAAGAAAAAAACGGTGAGTGAATTTCCCAATCTTCTGTCAACACATTTGTTTGTTATCTGGGGACTGGAGGCAGAAAATACTTGGAACCTATATGAATACTTGTAGTCACAGGCTCGGTGTCCTAAACACAGGAATGCTGTTGTTTCCTTTCTGCATTTGGTACCTGGACTGCTAATGGGCTTACTATCAGCCTGCACCACAGACCTCACATTTTTTCCCCATTTCTCTTTATATGTAGGTCTGGTTTGACAAACCATTCTAGGATTACTTGACTTTAGGTTAGGTTAAAGCCTCCCTTTTATGTCCTTTCTCACTGAGGACAGTGGTAACATTTTGGAGGATAGGTGCCGTGCTTTCCAAAGGAAATTTTGGGAGGATCTATTTTGTGGAGAAAAGCTTTGATTTTTGTCTCTGACACCTTTCTTATAGAAGAACTCACAAAGCTGTAGAACTCACAAAGCTGTATATTCTTCCCTTTTTCCCCCTTCCACTCTGACATGTAAGAGAAGAGAAAAGTGATGCTTCTTTCCATGGAAACATGAAGATTTGAGCAAGGGGAAGCTGCCAGGATGAAAATTTGAGGAGTATAGAGAGTAGCATCTGTTTAGTTTCTGCAGCTTACTAACGGTGATTGTAAAAGGTCAAAGAATGTGAGTGTGTTAAGGTGAGAACTTATGTACCTGTTAATCACATGGAGCCATATTATTTGTATTTGGGTATGAACTGAACTACTTGCACTATGCTATTTAAAATGAAACTAAATAAAACACAGGTGTCTGATTCATCCCAAATACACTCCATGTATTTTAGGAGCTTGATTCTCCTGACTTGACTCTTTTACTGCTTATGACCATTCAAAGAGATTATAAATGATGTCCGGATCATCTATCTATGCTGGCATTTCTCAATATGTACGATAATTGTACATGTTAATGAGTAGCATCTGGCTTTCTACTCAAACACTGCTCAGGTTGATCTGAGCGAACGACACTTCAAAGTTGCTGCATCATATACTGCTTTCAAACCTGCAATGCTTTGTAGCACTGCTTATTGTGGCTTTGAGAGCTCTAAGCTAGTTGTGAGGTACGTAGCATGCCAGAAGTGGAAACAGCACCGAGCTCCACCAATATTAACTGCTGGGAGTAGTTCCCAGAAGCACCTGATACTGATCCATTGACAAGTGGAAGGAAGGTGTAGTTAACTCTTACAAGTTCAAAATCCCCATGTTTTCCAACAGGTATCTTCAAAACTAACAGCTGAAAGCTTTTCCCCAGGCAGCATGCCTAATCACCATCCATTACACAGCGGTAGCCGGAGTGTCAGATCTCAACTCCCGAGGCTGTGGAGACATCCCCACGCCTCGTGGTTAACTTAACTGGCAGCAAGTCTTGTGGTGCCTGCGCTGCCCAGCCTCGGCGGCTCGGGAAAACTCTTCCCCTCCTTGCTGTAGCGGCGGGTACCGAACGCCTGCCCAGCTGGCACCCGCGGCCCGGCCCCGCGACCAACACCCGCCG